CACATCTCTAGTGCACATACATCATTTAACTTATTATGAAAAAAAAATATTGATTGAAAATGATTTAATCGAATGGAATCCGGTTTTCAAATATATTTCTCATAATAATTTTTTTTTCATAATCTAGATTTTTACCAGTTGTACTATTGACAATCTACATAAGTTCCTGCTATTATGCTTTTTTATTTCAAAAATAGGATCTCAAGACCCCACTCTTGACATTTCACTCACCCCAACTTTGGACACCAGAGATAGACAATTATTGATAAGACAATCAGATGCAATTTATATACTTAGAAGTATGTGTGGAAAAACTTTGATTGAATCCATATTTCGGTGCACCATTAAATCTGAATGTAAAACGTATTTGTACCTCTTTGGAGTCAGAAGAAAGGACACGAGCAGCAGCGGTGATAAAATCTCCAAGCAGCATCGTGAAACCTGGTAGACCAAGGAAGAAGAAACGGGGCGAGCAGGAGCGGACGATGGTATTCAAAACGTCCTATAGAAGTGAATGGACACAAATAAATTAATAATATAACTAAAAATTTATAGTGACAGATTTTTGACTGTGACCTTGGAACAAACTAACATTTTTACCAATCTAGATTTGCGTTTTCTGCAGGCCATGAGTTTTGAAGAAAACGGACGCGATCTTTCCTTAACGGATGAAAAGACGCAACATGGTGAAAGCTTTTCACTACAAATGGAAGGCTGGTCATTTAGACCAACACGATTAAAGTTAAAGATTCAAGAGTAAATGACAATATGGAAGATGGGGGAAAGAAAGACAGACGAGAGGCAGCAGATGGATTGTTCACACTGGATAAGAGGGAGGACAAAAGACTTCAACTTTCATGAGTCGCATGTAGGTACACACACCAGCAAACCTGTAATTAAAGCCAGAGACAAGGTATTGTTTTGAGGCGGTACAGCGGCTCAGCGGCAGATGGGTACTCTTTCAACACCAACATATGCTGTGCAGCAGAGGGTTACGCACAAACCTCTTAAATGTGTACAGTATAACACCAAACGCACATACAAAGGACATTAAGACGTTAAAGGGTTGATACCAAACTGAAAATACTCATATATACAAAACATATACACAAAATGGTATAAGAATGTTGCTTCCCAACAAGAGCAAAATTACTCCCCCTTATCTGCAGCGTGTATGTGAATATGTGTGTACAAAGCCAAGGTCCAGCTCGGAAACACCTGCCTTCATGGCTATAAACCTGAGCAAATCCGACAGTTCAAACATCAGCCTGTTTGTACCTGATCCGAGGGCCACCTTAACAAAACGCATGCATACAATTGCAGCATCGGGGACGCACAAACACACTGTGCCACCTATGTATGTGTGACATAAGTAACCCCAAACCCTCAGTAAACAGCTATGCAGGTGAACAAAAGGAAAATAGAATAAACACAGACATAAAAAGCAGGAAGTCAAACCAACATCAGTGCTGCATGCGGAAAATTGGTGGGAAGAGCTTTAGAGCTGAGGGGCCAATTTTACCCTCATTTTGTTGGTAATTGACCTCTGAAGCATAATGTGCAGTGCAGTCAGAGGTAATTAGCAGGCAACAAACTGTTTCTTGATTGCCTGAAATAAGCATTTTAGAGGAAGCTACAAATGCAGACGGCAAAGTGCTTTCGATTGTGTGTGTGAGCAGAGGGGACCTGATTTTAGGTGTGAGTAAAGAAATCAGCATTGAGGAAAGTGGAGCTGTGTTGGCAGTAGGAATGGCCGACTGCATCAACAAAAGGTGCATTAACGTCAATACTGAACAGAGCTACCACAGGACTTTTTTTTTTTCTATAAATGTGGCCTCATCCTCAGGAAAGAATGCACTCCGGCTGGCCCAGGGGTGACAGGGTTCATTCTGGCATTTTATCATACTATAAAGTATCAAACAACCTTTACAATTATAAGAGGAAATATTTGATTTCAAATGTTTTATAAAGAAATGACAACAGAGTTTACAGGTCAGAGATTAACAGTAGATTTTGGGAGAAAGTTTGAATTAATCTTAGCTAAAAAAAAAAATTAAATAAAGTAAAGCAATTTAAAGGTTTCTGCAAATTTCAGTTATGAAAAATAAGCAAGTTACTTTTAAAAGTTATTTGCTCAATGACATGTCTCACTTATTCAGCAACAAATAAATCAAAAATAAACACCAAAAATATATATAAAAACTTGTCATGGTGTGCATCAGCCCTGGTGTGTCAATTAATTGTGTTAAAGTTGTCAAACTTTAACACAATTAAGTAAGTAAAAAGGCAAACCACCACACTTATTCATATCACAACCAAATAAGAGAATTAGAAATGATTCTATCATTGTGAACTTCAAAGTATTAAACACAACAGGTGTCACCTCCAGAACATTTCAGTCTTAATCTCTGTGGAAGGATCCCGACTATTACTAATCCTATTTGCATGAAATGATTTGTAAAGCTTAAAATGATTCAGTCCAGGAGGTTAAAAATAGTTAGTCCAATTTCACTATCCAAATGTGTTGACATCATATAAAACATCTTGCAATTTAAGATTTTAAACAGTCTTTCAAAAAAATTAAAATAAATCCTGGCAATCTGATTAGGATGATCCATTTCCATAACTGACATTATATGTTTAATGCAGTTGTTTATTTCTAATAAATGACCAAGAGATCTTCTTAGAGGTGAACATTTTACGTAAGGAATTAATGTTTGTTTCCAATCTTCAGCTTTTGACAGGAAGTGCTAACCCAAAACCAGCATTTCTTAATATTTGTTGGAGAAGTGGGCTGTACAAGGTGAGAAAGAGTAATAGACACATACACACAAAGTCATTTTCCTAAGGTTCACAATAAAGCACACAGCTTCTGACATATGAAGATGCTTCTGTAAGACTTGTCTGCACATGATTCAGTCGAAATGCTCATTAACAGTTAAATTATTAATGAAATCAAAAACTTAGAGTAAAAACACTAAGCAACAACTGACGTCGAGTGCGACTTATATACGTTTTCTTCCTCTTCGTGACGCAGTTATTGATTGCTGCGTTAAATGTTAATTCATGCTGACAGACATGAACCAAGGATTAAACATTACCATCAGCAGCTGCGGGGGAAAGCGCTTTATACAACAAGCTCCAAATCTTTGAGATTAGAAAGCCTATTTGCCATCATCCTAATCTTTAGCTCCGTCCAAAGATTCAAGTCTGGAATCTGGCTGCGCTGCTCTTTAACATCCATATTACATTTAGTCAGATGAGACGTGTTGGTCACATCAGGAGAGCAGTTTCTAATCTATATAAATAAGTTTGTACTTAAACGTTATGCATGTTTTAGGACACGTGTTTTGGAGTAGCATGCTAAGGCTGTAATGCATAAACCCTGCTTGTGGCAAAATATCTTATTGTCAGGCAAAAAATGAAATAGGAGAGAGTGTGGCATGCTGCATGCCATTATCGAAGTAAAGTGTGATACTGATGAAATGTATTGTTATTTTTCAGCTTTTTGAAGTTAAACAGGTTTTCAACCACTTACGTGGAACTGATTCCATTAATTTTAACTAGGCACTGGACCTCAATGGCCTGGATCAGTATTGAGGAAAAAGACTCCTGATCCGGGACACTCCTGTTGTTTCAATCACTAAATGTCACAAAAATACGTTGATAACCATTTAACTCTAGATTGCCCAGCTTTTAGAAAGACTGTTATTGATCGATTACTGCTATTGTGCTGCCATCTTGCCATTGAGACCAGTGACCGGTAAGTGACAGAGAACCAGGACAATAGCCCTGACCTTGGCACTCTGTCAGTTGGAGGAAGAATCCTACTAACAGAAGAGTGGCTGATTTAAGCAAAAATTAACCACAAAAAAGACTATTTAGGTGAACTATCGACTTTAGGCAGAAATAAGGACATGGAAATATCTGGGATCTCTTGCTCAGTTTGCTTCAACAGATGACAACTTTTGTTATTTAGGTTATGTGTAAAATAATGTGTTATAAAATTAACTTGTTTGATTTGATAGGTTTTTTTTTTAAAAAAACAAACATTTCGTATTTTTTTTTTGGGGGGGGTTGCAGAGGGGGCTGGGGGTAGAGGCAAAAAAGGAAGGAGGTGGGGGAGAACAAGAGCCACTTTCTTATGTTAAGCAGGCATGCGGCTGTCCTCTATTGTGTGGCGTGAGGACTCTTTTCTCTGGCCAATTTGAGCATGCTTCAGTGGCCAGCCTGGCTCTGGCCCCCTAACGCATTATACAGAGCCACAACAAAAGCTGGAGAATGCTGCCTGGTCTCGCAGTGCGCCGAGCCCCCCTCATTGCTCTACTCTACGCTGCGTTCCCCAGGCTCCCCTCCCGCTCCTTCACACACACAGGCAGGCAGGGCCGCTCTAACTCTGGGCCCCCGGCCGACGTGTCAGTCTAACGGAGCGCGACAGACGTCAATCCTTAATTAATCACGTATACACGGCAGGGGCTCAAAACATTATTTAACGACATGGAAAACATTCTAATAAGCTTGTCGCACTGCCAAGGCGCAATAGAAACCCAGCCAAGAGGGCATATATGCATATATATTCACACACACATTTGTATCCAAAACACCCCTTGCTCACCCAGACTTTTTTTTTTTTTTTTATCCCTGTCCCTTTGTTTTGGGGAACTCTATTCATCTCCACTCATCTTTGTCTAGGACCAAAGGAGCTACGCCAGATTTGAATACAAGAAAGGGTGGGGCGAGAAAAGGAGGAAGATGCCAAAACACAGCAGTGCTTCTCAACACCACCGGTTGGCAGGCAGACTGAGCCTCTATTTTAAAACTGTAGTGTATTTACAGTTTATGGTTTTACCTATGTTGAGTCTAACCTACCTTTAATTTGAACATGCTTATTTCAAAGTTGACATACAAGGTTCACAGGAAATATCTCAGAAAGCACTAGCTGAGTAAAAATGAAAATTGCAAACACATTAAAAAGTGAACTGAAATCAGCTAATTCTGAAAAAGTTCTTGAGCGCATCTTAGTTTGATGCGCCATCTATGGGTGATGAAAGAATATTTTTTTTTTTTAAAAGAAGCCTGACGATCTCACAGTAAAGAGCCATCTGCTGGTTGTACCTGGTCATCGCTGGTGAAGCCCTTGTGCATGACGTGGTACAGGTGCACCAGGAAGTCGCTGTTGGGGAGGACGTCTTGGTGCCTGGTCATCATCTCACAGATCAGCTTGTATGCCTGCAGTTTGCCAGCCTTGTACTCTGCTTGGAGCATGGTTGCCTGTGGAAAACAGAGAAGCACAGAGGTAAAGCATTTTATGACGAGCTCCTGTTTTTGTCATCTTAAATCTGCATTAGGTTTTTCAAACTGCTTAAATAATCTAAGGAGAATGTGTAAACTATAATTGTTATAACCTGCTGTTTTTGGAAATTAAGTGGATAAGATTTAAAAATAAACAATTTGGTCTGATCAAGGACATGTTGCTGCTGCCACATTAAAGATATGCAAGAATAATAATCAAACTTTAAATTATAGTAAATTAGTTTCAATTGTTCTGTAATACTATTCATAATGTAATTTTAGAGAAAAAAATATGAAGTGGGATGATTAAATGATGCTGCTGCAAAATAATGTGGAACAGTTACATATTAGAGGTTAGTCATTATCAAACACTGTCTTCTTCTCTGTTAAAAATATAATTATCTGCAACACTGGAGCTTAGTGCAAAGCCTAAGAACTAATTTTAATTTATGTTATAAGGACTTCATGTCATAAATCAACATAATGTTTTCACTGTACATATGGTTTTAAAATGCATTCAAATTTCTCTCGCATCTTTAGCCCGCTTTACTTCTTATGTGATCTTCGTCACAAATAAAAAAGCAGTAACATTTTGAAACAACCCAGAAAAAGAAGTCTGGATTTCATGCATTACAAGACAAGATGGTGCTGGTATCATTACTTATTTGACGCATACAAATGTCCTGCATGCTGTTTGTTGTGTCCATGTCTTGTTCCTACCCTGAAGAGCCATGATGCTAGCATTCGAAGAGGAGGGATGAACACAGGCTGGGGAGGAGAGGACTGGTTATCCACGCTGATCCCCAGATTGTCCCGGACCTGTGATCACACATTTAAATGAAAGCACCACATCTTATTCATTAATGCATCTTTGCATGACTGTTAAAAGAAAATTACGTTTTCACAACAATATTTGGGAAATCTTTCTGACATTAATGTCCTTTCCTGTATGTAGGCAGCATGGTCTGTTTTTTTTTTTTTACCTTGGCCAGCTTGTGCCAGAGATCATAGAGATAGGAGAAAACCTTGGCATGGATCTTAGGGCATCGGATGTTATTGACATCTCCCAAAATACCCAAAATCCTCCTCCACAGGACAAAAGCAGAATCAGGATGCCAACCAGTCAGCGTCCCCCCAGCGATGATGCTGACATCATCGGCAAGACACTCACTGCTGTCTGCAAGATCAGAGACAGTTTTGGTTTGAATGCAGTACAGATTACAAAACGAGGCAGAATTTATTTTTAAGGAAATTGGATTTAGTCAACATGTGCTGAATAATTTTCTGAGATAATTCTAAATACTTGAAAAAAGGAAATGAATAAGAACAAAATTCAATACTTATTGAATACTTATTCAATACGTATTCTACTTATTCAATACTCAACAGGTTCAGCTGTTGACTGAACCTTACAAAATATCTGTGCTTTTGCCCCAAATGCATTTGACCAGTAACATTTTGCTGTACATGAATAATGGCCTAAACACTTTGGGGAAAAAGGCACACCACACATGGATCATTGAAGTATGGGAGAACAGTGCCACCAAGTGGGCAGAAGTAGAAATGCAGGTAAGAGGGAGCAGAGGCCAGGAATGGACTTTCTTGTTATGTTGTGATATTTTTGTTGGAAGAAAAGAGAATGTTCCCAAAAAAAACATTTAAATTATATTCAGTTCAAAGGTCTGAAATATTATGTAATAAAAGAAAAAGAGAAAAGTAATTTGATGCTCAGTACGTTCATATCCATCAATGTCAAAGGGAACAAAATGAGTACAAAACTAAAAGATGCAGCTACAATGCCTTGCAAAAGTTTTCTTACTACTGAACCTTTTTCACATTGTGTCGTGTTACAACTGCAAAGTTCAACGCATTTCATCTGGGTTTTATGTGAAAGATTACATTAAGTACTGTATTATTTTTAAGTGGAAGGAAAATTATATTTTTCAAACTTTATTACAAGTACAAATCTGAAAATTGAGCTAAACTGGAGAGGGGATTAATAACCGGCAGCCAAAAAGCCTGTAGTAACTCTGGAGGAGCTGCAGTGATCCCCAACTTTCAAAACAGCCACTTCGTTTTATGAGTTTTACCAATCTGGCCTTTATTAAGAATTGAAAGTAGAAAGCAATTGTTGACAGAAAGTTCTAAGAAGTCCTGTTTGCAGTCAGACAGAAGGGATGTAGAAGACAGCAAGAAGCAGAAGCTCTGATCTACCCAGATGAGACAGAAATGCAGCTCTTCTGTGTACAAATGCACACTGAACTTTCCAGATTTGTATCGTTTGTGTTGGTCTATCGCAAAAAAAAAAATGTAATCAAGAATTTAAACTTAAATTCTGGTTGTAACTTGGTAGAATTTGGACATGTTTAATATTTTGCAAGTCACTGTGATTAATAAAAGAAGATCTATCTCAGCTGAGGGAGGAGAAAAATAGACACATGAAAACAGAATTTTTTTGATGCAAGAATCCAGGTGGAAACAATGGAAGGAAAGTTGATGGTGGCGTTGATTGATAAATAACAGTTAGGCAGTGGTACCCAAGTGGTGTGGCATGTGTAAGACAGACTGATGCATGGTGTCATCCAGGGGACAGTCCCGCGGGCACTCGGTGTGCACCAGCAGGGTCGGTGAGGAGGGGGGGTAGTGGTAATTGTGGTGGTAGGGAGGAGCAGAGTGGGGAAGGAGGGCACACTCAGGACCTAAAAACAACAATGGAAGAGGGATAAAAAAAAACAAAAAAACTGGCTTTGAGGAAGAGGGAGCACAGAGACACACGGATCACAATGCAGGGAAGAGAAAAATTAACCTCAAACGGTGGGGTGTGAGGAGACAACAACACATTTTCTCACAAAACAATGTTAGGAGTAAAATAAAAATCTGAGCGAGATGAAGACCTACAAGTACCTGGAAAAGGACTCAGACTTCCCAGTGAGCTGTACTTAAGCCTTTTAACTTGAATCTATTCTGTGTTTCTGTTTAATATTTCACCTTTTTTTAACTCCGACGCATCTAAAGTGAACATTTTTAACCTTTAAGAGTATGTGTTGTTAACTGTCTTTCCCTGATCTTACCGGCTAGAGCGTCATTGTGGCTGAGCAGCAAACTCCCTTGGTTCTGGGGGTCAGCTGTAACGTCCATGTGAGCCGACTGCGTGGACTGAGTGTCGGCCTCCTCGTCGAATGTTTGCCATGTAACTTCAGCCTCATTGAGGTAGCCGTTGGATGTCTCGCTACTCACACTTTCACCTATTTAAAGAAGAGAACATGTGCTTTTTATAGCAGAGACATGCAAATGCAATCTAATCTTTGGAAAAAAATGCTCTTTACATACAAGTGTAATGACCTGGAGCTAAACAGCTAACACATAGGTAATTCAAATTACACAAGCGCCAGGTGATCTCTCACTTTTATCTCTGAGTTTGTGTCCTGTGTAGGTTGGGGGTCCGTCAGTGCTCGACTCTGCCTCGGCTGGACTGCTGCTCCGTCGGATCAATATCTAGATATGACGTAACAAATTAAAAAATAAATAATCTAGCACACACACAGTCAATACTTCATTATATAATAGTACAAGTTTAATGTACATACCACTGGTGGCTCTATGCTCTCAGTCCTGCCCTCAGAACCACAGGAAGTGGGGGAGTAGTCTCTCTTCTGGGCTGTGAGAAAAAAAGTTATTTTATTTAAATAGAGAGCATGAAAAGCTCTCCATAAAATTGTCTTAAATATAAATTTCCCTTAAATTATGACCACGGATACATCTACATGAATTAAAATGTTATTGAAATGTTATTTTATTTTTGTAGCTCAATTCAAAAAGTGGAACTTGTGATATAGAGGAGATGTGGTATAATGGACATACTTCTCAAAGGGTGAACTTATATGTGTAATTTTCAGTTTTTTCAATTTTCTGAGAAAGTCAATTTTGTGTTTTTATTAACTGAAAGCCATATTGTTCAAAGTAATACATAGAAATAAATGTGTGTAAGAAATCACTGTATGAATTGCACTGCTGAAATAAATGCAAATTTAATTCTAGTCTTCATTAAATGTTATTCTCTTAATGTGGGTCTAATAGTGACATATCATAATGTTCCTATTATATCATTGTAACATGGACATATTGACATTTTGCCATAAAAAAGCAGAACAACACAGCCAAAAAAAGTCATTGGCATGCAGGCAACTCTGCTCATGAATGACTGGTGACGGCTCAGCTGAATCGTGTCTTCTCAGGTTAAGTTATGAATGAGAATGAGGATAGAAGTAAAATAGAGCAAAGACTTTGTTGTTGTTGTTCAATACCTGGTAAAGTGTCAGACAGCTGCTGGGTGATGTCCGAGGTGCTGCTGCTCCGCTGCAGAGGACTCTCCCTGCCCCCCGTTTCCTCTTCTCCTCCACATTCTGAGAGCTGACATTCTTCTACATCTGGAGGGGGAAAAAACACAAACAAACAAACAAACAAACAAAAAAAACAAGGTCAGTTTGTGTCACGACATCATCCGAAAAGAAAATTAAAAGCATAATCTGGGACATGACTTGTATTATTTATAAGGAGATGAAGAAACGTTCATGATGCAGAACAGACTTTTATGAAGACATGGAGGAAAACATCACATGCGGACATGCATTAGTAATACTTAACGAGATGCTTTTGTTACAGATTGCAATTTCGTAATAAAGGGAGTTCAGTCCATAAGTGGTTTTTAAGGAACTATTAAAAAAAAAAAAAAAAAAAAAAAAACAGGGTTCCTACAGCTTTTTCATGACGAAATTTTTTGCCCATTTTACAATGAATACAAATGCTTACTGAAAATGCAAAAAACCTAAATGTGAAATCTGAAAAAAAAGATGGATGGATGGATGGATACAGTTTCTCAACACTGTAACTAGAAGTAAAATCTGGGAATATTTTTCCAGACTTTGTTTCTTCCAAAGCTATTCCCCTTGGAAGAACAATAATATCTAATCCAAGCTTCCCCCATTTCCATACAGCATAGGAACCCTGTAATACGGCCATAAACACTATAAACTGTCAAAATTTGTTAAGAGATGGATGAGAATGCATGGCGGAGGTCACAAACACACAAATACATGCGGCTCTCGCAGTGCACGTTACCTGAGAGTCTATGAGAGCAAGCAGAATTACCAGAAGAGATACCAGGCAAGAAAGAGCTCACAGTGTGGAGCAGCATAGGAACACTTTTAGTAGTGGGCAAAGCCTCGTAAAGATGGACACAGTTGCTGATGGACTGGCTTCGCTTAGCTTCCATCAGGCAAAGATAGAGAGGGAAGAAAACAGACAGTGGAAACAGCAGAAAGGCAAAGGGAAGAAGACAGAATTCAATGAAACAGTCACTTCCAATGATAAATGCTTTTTTTTTTATCACAGAAGTAATTTACATTATGCAGAGATAAGTGTAGTTTGTAGTTCTGTGTGGGTCTTGATATAACGACCAGAAAAAAGGAGAAATGATCAGTAGAAAATACAGCTACTATAACCCATAACAGCTGAGTGTATTTATACCATTCGTGGTATCACAGCCATGCACAAAATAGCTAGCTACACGCAACTTCTCACATGAATAAGGAAGTTATTTGAGGAAAAAAAAGTGCCACATTATGTAGGAAAACTTGAGTTAGTTTTCTCTTTTGAATGGGGAAAAAAAAACACAACAAAACTGAAACAGAAAACTAAATAAATTAAGCAAGTGAAATTATTTAAAAAAATAAGAATATAAAAATAGTCAAATAATTAAAAAACTTAATATTTTAAAAGAATATTAAAAATTGGTAATTGTTGAAAATCTATCTCGATATAGCTCAAAAAAGTGTAATTTAATCTCAAATACTACATCTGGTGCAACTATTTTACAAGGTTGTAAATTGAAAAGAACAAAGTTTGCACAAGTACTGCAAGAGCAAATTCAACATGTATGAATTACAGAATCATTTTTGACCTACAGAGAAACCCAAACATCTGCTGAAATATCTCATCACAAGATGATGGAATTCTTTATCCTGCATTAATGGGATATTCACTTCAGGCAACATTATTAATTTCCGAGTTCACAAAAAATATCGTTCAGAAGAAAAACATGTTTTTTGTCCTCCTTTTAACTTACAGCTTTACAAAGCTGTAAGGGTCCCACATGCAGACAATTCATAATGACGCATTTGGGTAACCACTGAGACAGCAAATAACTCATGCTGTAAAGTATTATGGACATCCCATCATCATGAGATTACAGAAGTAGTTATTTTGTGATAACCTGATAGAGGTTGCTCCACATCAGCTCATACAGAATCACCTGGTGGAACTATGAGTCTGCTGAGATTACTGTATGAACTACTTCCCAGTACAATGTCCCCAAGAATGGTTTAAATGGGATAATGCAGAAGCATTGCTATGATGACGTGCTGAAGGCTGAATGTTGGAACGAGTAGGAGCTTCTTAAAGAGCCAGAAGCTAATTTCAAGACGTAAAACTACAAAGTCAAATTTCTTTTAAATCGTGATTGACATTTACAGAATATTTTTTTATAACTGAAGGCAACATAGTTAATCAATTGTACTACAAAATAGCACTATGTGCATAGAAAACACATAATACTGCCCCTTTAAAATATATCATTGTGTTTAATTAAACTATTTTAGAGTTTTGCTTTCTGAACTGCAAAAAATATGTCAATTTTTTTTATATCCCTAAGATCTGTTTCATGTACTTTATACAAATATATAAAAAAACTAATTGTATTTAACAAGTTTCTGCCCAAAGTAATTAGCTGTTCACATCCAATATAACATAAGTTATTGCAACCAGTTAGTAGCCATCAAAGGCAAGGGCAAGGTTTATTCACCTGGATCTGTGTAGTTGCAGACGCTTAATGAGTTCCATAATTAAACGCCCTTCTTCTTCATTATAAGGACAAGATCTCACAATAACACTGTACATTTGCATGTGTAAGAGCAACCAAGTTTTGACAGTTGTCAATGCTGATGCTTTACCATTGTGTCTGGATAGTACTTCAGGGTTACTCTCATAGAAAGCACTGAAAAAAAAAAGGTGCTTCTCTCATCTGCTTTCAGCACACTTTAATTACGCCTTTCAGTTAAGAGAGATGCATCATATCTCCCACAGCCCACTGCTGCTTCTCGTTTTGTGCATATTAATGAGCATTAATTACACTCTTAATGAAACAATCAAAAACTGCTGTGCAATTGATGTGTGGGGTTTCTCTTGAGGAGCAAGGAGAAGGGCTGTTGCTCCTTTGAAGATCAATGTGAGAGCAATCCAATTAGGCTGAAGAAAGGAGGAGAATCTGAAGCGGTTGCTTTTTATGTCCATCTTTACTTGCATTGAGATACAAATAAACAGGCTAAAAGAATAGATGCATAAACATCTACCTAAGGGACATAATTGATTTTTCAACACATGCATATAAAAGCATACAGGCACATTATCCTTTAAGCAAATAAAAAAAA